TCCTCTTCTTTAGAAGTAAGTAAGTACTTATCAGGAAATGTTAACCGGTATTCTGACACGCTTTTTTGACTAGGGGGCATTACTTAAGGTGGGATTGTTCATACTGGTCAGGATATCTCGATAACGTCAGCCTGCATGCAGTAGAATGCACTTTTTTTACACTCAATACAAAAGGCCCACTTACGGGGCAACAAACTTGTTCCCAATAAATGCAAATGTATCTTATAAAAACCTACAGAAAAATATGTTTTTTTTTCTTGGACTTTTTGGTAGCAAATCACATCTTCCCCAAATATTATGCTCAAAGGAAGGCTATAATGAAGTTTTAAAGAGGTTATCCAATTACCAAATATGTTTTACTACGATCTGCTTTTAGGGCTTTTAGTCTACAAGCTATATAATTTACGTGTTAGGAAGACCATATATTCCCTGTTGCATTCAGAAGATATCATTAAGGGCTCATAAACTTTTGCACTGGATATAGACCACGTTGCATACTTAATACGGAGCCTTACCAAACGGACAAATGCAATATTATTTAACTGCATATTCCCCAGTCTTTAACATACTATCACAATTACAAACATTTTAAAAACCCAAATACACCCTTTCTTATAATATTACGGAAGTTGCCATTGAACGAGTACAAGAACTAATCCTTCGACTTGGCTTATCTAGAAATTATGCTTGAATTTATAAGAGCGTCATTGGACCAGTTTCGCACTACAGTGGATTACCTATCCGTTGAAATCTAAGGGTTTTTACAAGGAAATCCCTATTATGCTAAAGTAGCTCACGTTCTCCAAAGTCTTACAGCAATAAAGTAATGGTCTTTCTTCAAAATAGGGCATATTGCGATTTATCAGTTAATATTACGTTGTTTGGAAATACCAGCTTTTTCGACAAAACAGCTAATTCCGAAAAAGCGAAATCGGGTGTAGGGGGAGCCTGGTGACTAATCTTTCGGTTTAGGTCAGCTAATATGTCTTGCTATGAGGCGAATGGGTCAAAATCATGACATGACTACCGG